CCCGTGACTAAAACGCCTTAAAAGCACAGCTTATTATTTTATTGCAAAATAACACTAATTTTTATTATTTTTTTAAAGTTACAACGTAAGCATGTACTGGCGGTTTTTTCACCACTGCTTTGCCCAATACAAAACAAACATATTTTATTTCGCCAATATTTTTTAGAACATGCAAAAACACATTATAAATGAGTTCAAACCTACTGGTTCATTCGCCCAATAACCCGTTAATATTTCAATTATCGCACACGAGATCGCTTGTGATATCGTTTAATATGCTGGAAGGAGAGAAATTTCTCCATAAGAACTCAACAGGTTCATTTGAATTTGTATTGTCTGCCTCCTACGTCCACGATACCGAATCGGTGCCATAAGTTACCGAGAGAATAAATCAAGCTTGCTTTGCTCGTGTTCTTTATGCCACTTTTGCACTGAACAGATGGCGGAATGAACTTGGTGATTGGAGGAATATGAAGAAATTCGTTTCGCAATATTACAATACAAATATTGATATTTTGTACAACAAATTACACTAAAAATATTAAGTAATTTACGAATGATGGTAGGTATTGTAATTATACTACTAAAATAAAATCTGCAATTTTCAAAGTTTCTTCAAGCAACTTTCTTGACCCATTACTGTAAAGATTTAAAAAAATTGTACATTCACCTCGCCAGAGTTTTTGTTTTAAGTGCGTTCCACCAACTTCAAATACCGACAGAGAGCCAGACACACTGTTTAAAATATCTGTGGTGTAAAAAGTAATCTCAAAATCCAACACCAAGTGGTGTTAATATAACACCATGAATTATGGTTGAAAATGTGTACCGATCGCGGCAAAGGCGGTGTGGATCACGTAATGTTCTTAAATCTCGCCTCTGTTGACTTACATGAAGAATATATAAACTCAGGTAGTCCTTTGCTTTGGTGTGACACTACAAGTTGTTCGATACTAAAGAGACCTTAAATAGGTGGAAACAGCTGTCAATACTTGAAGTATTTTAAGTTAGTGGAACGCACTAAAAACATTATCTCTAGCGAGTTGAAGGTTCCATTTTCTGGAATAATACCACTGGTAATATACTAGTAATGCGTCAAGGAACTTCCTGTTTCCTTTTTTTTTCCTTTTTTCTGTGTATTATGATTTAATTTTACCACAAACACATAATATTTAACACTAAAAAGGAGTTCAATTTACACCAGGTAAAATTTATTTTAATACTGTGTGAAAGTTAAATTAACACCATTTTAGTATTTGAATTAACACTGGGCCAACGGACCACATTTAACACAATTTTGGTTTGTATCGATTTAGACCATGTATGGTGTTAATTTGGTGTTAAAATGGTCATGAAATTTTGAACAGTGTACTGATTTGTAATTTTACTCATCCTTTGTTTTGCAAAACAACTGTAATTTTACAAAAAATTTTAACAGTGTACACGATTAAAATGATATATAGTATATAGTAAAAATTATTTGTATATTTCCAAACACTTATTGTAATTCAAATAGCAAATTTTGGTTAGTAATTTTATTGATTATCTTAGTAAAATTAAATTCCGAATATGTATAGAAATGTCACAAAATTTCAAATTCAATTCCACAATACAGAATTGTATATAACAAAATGTAATTGTAAATTGTATATAACAAAATGTAATATTACAACAAATGCGTATTAAAATTGCAATACAATACAACATTTTGTAATTTTACTATGCGACTGCTTAGTAAAAATGTTGTACCTATTTTTACAAACATTTTAAACAGTGTAGTCATAAAACATAATATAATATTATGATAAACGCTGTTTCCAAGTATTTAGACATTTAGCAACAAATATATGCAATAAAATAACAACATAGTCTACCACATCCTTAGGAGCGTTTATATATACATTTCTGTCGTAACTGGCAATACAAATTTCATTTGGCACCATTATTGGAAATTAAATATACAATTATTGCGAGTAAATTATACGGAACGAGACATTGCTTTTATCTGTATCGTATTATTAAGATATTTACGCCTTTTACAATATTGCACGAAACGCGTAAACTGTTTTTCTTTTATTTCAGCTGGCGCCGAGAGCTAGTGAAACTATATATGTACAGTGACCGCCAAAAGTGGTTTTGATAAATTATTTTTTTCAATTTCCGTCAATGATTTTTTGAAGAGAAATTCAAAAAGGATTTTGAATTGGAAGAGTAATACTTTCAGATGGGTTAGAACCTTCGAATTCTGATTCAGCAGGTCAAGTACCTCTTCAATTTGGCCCTGCTATGACATCCTTAACAAAGTTATTCACATAAAGAATGTTTGTTTTTCAAGGGTCACTCTCTACATATTGCGAAAGACCTAAGAAAAAAGCTTTTTTGTTTAAATTTGTATGCATCAATTCATTTGAGTTTATCCAAATATAATTATCAAGTAGCTATTTCCGGTTGACTTGATAAACCATTGTTATCAAGTAGCCATGCACATTATACAGGATTAATCAAAATAGCCATGAATAACATCCATCTGTAATAACGATTGGTTGCTTCGAAAAAGAGTCTTGAACACACAATGTAATTTTGGTGTATATTTCGACACTTCATAGTCATTTGTTACCCCCAAAATAAACACACGGACTCCGAATTTATGTGAATAATAAGCAATTAAGCAACTGACAGCGTATGTCGACTCCAAGCGATTCATCAAGCTGTAGAAACATTTTCGGAATACTTATCAAGGGGGAAATATATTGGGAGTTAAAAATAAACATTAGATTCAGTTCAGTTAACTTGGTTTTATATATTTTGGGAAACACAACATCTGCGGAACGAGTTTGATAAAAAATTATTGGGGAAAAATCGCACAACTAAGGTCTGTATATCGTGGAGGCCATTGAATTAGAAAAGAATCAGGATGATGGAAAAATTAAAGGAGAAATTTCTAGTGCAGGTTATCTGCCAACTGCTCGCAATAATTCGCATCAAAACTGGAATATTTTTTCCAAATCCAACATATTAGCATAGCGGTTATCTCGTAACGGCAAGCTAGAAATTAAAAGCAACATTTGAATAATTTTAATGCAAAAAGCATCCAGTCGCCATGTAGCAATCTGTCAAATATGTCACAACAAAAACCGTACACATGGGCAAGCAGCTAAACCTAAACTTAGGCTTTGTCTATTAATAGAGTCCCTGCGGTTTACTAGTAGAGATAGAAAAAGAAGCATATGGCAGATACAAGAGTTTCAAGCTAAAAATAGACATATTCAGTGGATCTTTTTGATAAAATCTACATTGTGATTTATAAAAAACTTACGCAGCATTTATATCAAAGCCACAATTGACATTAAAACTCCTTATACACTGTTAAAAATGTTTTGTAAAATTACTACATTTTTACTAAGCAGTTGCATAGTAAAATTACAAAATTTTGTATTGCATTGCAATTTTAATTTTGTTATAGCCAAAGTACTAAACAGGTTCCAATTTTACAATGTTTTTGTTTTTGTCAGATACTTATAGTAATTTTAAAATTATGTATTGTAGAATTGAATTTGGCGAGGTGAAGGTTCAATTTTTTTTATTTTTTACAGTAATGGTTCAAGAAACTTTGTAATATTGCGAAACAAATTTTAAAATTACTTAACATATTTAGTATTTTTTTAGCAAAATTACAATGTATAGTAATGTTAATGGACAAATTTTTAATAAATGCTTAGTGAATTTCAACAAATGTTTTGTATTTTTCCCAAATTGAGTTGTAATGAATCGTGTGAATTTACAGAACTAAGTTTTTTTATTACTATATTGTGGTACTAAACATGTTTAGTAAAATTACAATGGAAAATTTTAACAGTGTAGAAAACTTCAAATTACAAATCAATTACTCATTTTCATTGTTTTTCCGTAACGATCTAGATTGCGGTGCAGTGTTTTATATCGCTGACAAAACAGTTGAAAGTCCGCTTCCTTAATAGCTGGCCATACACAGACGTTATTTCGCGCGGTTTATCGTGGCGTGTTGGCATGTAGCGGTTTGCATGCACGAAAGAACGGCGTGGCAAAAAAAGCGTCATGTTCCATACACTTGATAAAGTATTCAAATGATTTAGCAAGTGATTGCCCGTGGTATATCAGTTTCAAAGGAAAAATCGTATGTGAGTGTCATTTATCGAGTCGTTTGAAACTGCATGTGATCATGTACAAATTTTCAAAGTGAAATTTTGCCAAGCAAAGGTAAACCGTGACGCGGAATGTGGCGTGTGGACACGCCACACTCCAGAGAAAAGCACGTCTGAAATCCCTTCCCGTTCTATCATTTCGCGCGGCGATACTCACTCACGTACATGATTTTCCATATGTTTTTGCAGATAACACGATAAACCGCGCGCAATAACGTCTGTGTATGGCCAGCTAATTTTACGTTAAAAATTTTGCAAAGGAAAGCGTTTTGCATTCAAGTGAACTGGTTTTGTTTACATTCTTCGGAAAAAATCATTCAAGAGCGATATTTTTTGTGTGTGTTGTGTTAAATATGTGCCACGCTTATTTTTCCCCTTTTTTATTTAGATGTGAATGATAAACAAATCACTGGGGATTTAAAGGATAATTCATGGCATTTTTTCTATTATTTATTTCGACCTTTTCTATTATGTTTCACCCTTATAAGATATGAGCCTCCCCCATGAGAAAGAGAAGACAGTGCACCCCAGATATATTTCTAATGCTATGTAGACATGTAGAAAAGTTATTACTGTATTGGGTATACCTACCATAAAATAGACATTTTAAATGTCACATTTATAAATGTAAAAAAGGTATCTAGAAATATTGTATTGAAAAAAGAATCCAATATTTGTTTACATTTTAGTACAATTTACATATCCAGAAAAAAGTCATCGTTAACCAAAATCAGTAATTTTATTCACATTTTGGTTTAAGTGTTATCTATTATCAAAACCAATGAAACATTTTCTAAAATTAGTAAACTTTTCTCATACCGAATCGTCTGAATAAGTGGAGACAGTATCCTCATCTTGAATATCACAAACCACAATTTTCTGTGGTTTGGCCTCCATGGACCGTCTTATCCATGACGCCATTTCACACACAAAAAGCACAAGCCACAAACTCACGAGCACATTGTAATCCGTTTACTTGCTAATCGCGTTTTGAAGAACTTATCGTATTTATTAATTCGAATAACAGTCGGTGGAACTTTGGACCTATGACACATCGAGCAGGCTATGTTAGTAGGCGCATGGGTACAGGGACCTCGTCGACGAGCACATGTTTCGTTTCGTATTTGTTTTAACTGCATCCACGCACCATAGCCAACTAAACTTCACTAAATGTGAGCTGGTGTGCTCCGAGACTTCAGTGGCAGTATAGGACATTGAGTGAATCATGCTTTGCATACAGATCCGGGCTCCCAAAAAGTGTCAAAATTGTCATTATTTTAATTTACTATTTTTGCCCTTTTAGCATTTTGTGTTAAAATTATTTCAAAATAATAAAAAACTTACTGATCATAATTTGACAGATTAAATTTAGAGGTTGATTGATTATTTCTGGAATTAAAGTATTATTAAACTATTTGACAATTAATAAAATCTGACGTATGTATATGTCAAAATTTATGAACAATTTTTTAAACAAAATTCCATTAATTTAAAGGTATGTAATAATTAATACCTAATTGATATTTCGTAAACTAAATAACTTATTTTTTATTGTTTAAAAAAAAATCTATGTTAAAACTTGTAAATAACACGATAGAATCGTAAACAAAAATCCAATATGAAGGCTAAAATTTAATCGCTGTTAAATAGTTCTAGTGATTTAATCGCTTATCTAAACAAAATTTATTCGAAAATTTAAGGCTTTTGATTGGTTCATTTTATGAGGGAAATAATAAAATATAAATTATGCATTTCAGCATAAATACGTTATCATTGGAAAGTTAGATTATTTCTGCATAATTTGATTTTAAATTTAGTTTGAGAAAAGTTAAATTCGCCTTTGGGAAACTTTTTTAAACGTTTCTTTTCTGGAAAGTTTAAAATTTGGACATTTATCCTTGTCACTCTTAAACTCAAGTGGGTCATGAATTTAAGAAATAAAAATAACTGGGTCATATAAAAATATTCTAAATTTGGAGTTTAAAAAGCGAGGGCTATAGAACAGTTTATAAACGAGTTGCATACTATACTTTTTCTACGACTAATACTTGATTTTTTTAGTACTTACGAGACTTTTCTGGCAATAAATTTTGTGTGACACCAAAGAAAATCCTTTTTTCTTCTTTAACAATAACAGCCGCTTATTTTAAATAAGTAAATTAAGGACGGAATGGCGAATCGATTTTGACATTAACTGTCACCAATGACTGTGATACCAACTATCTAAAGTAAAATTCGACCAAATTAAATTTAAGGTACAAAATTTTATAAATTGTCCGCGCGCGACAAAATGACATTAGTTGTTTAATATATTATTATAAAGTAATACATTATTTTTTATGATAATATTTGTCAAAGAAAAAGTATAGTAGGTATGCAAATTTTCTAGCGGCATTTGTTTTATAGGATAAATATTATAAAATTAATTTTAGTAATTAATAATAATGATTATAATAATATATGTAGATACTCTAAAAACAGCATAACATAGGTCAACTATAAAAAGAAATATATGTAAAAGCAAAATCATGCTGTTTAATTGGGACAAGGTCACTCTAAAAAAATACAAAAAATATCAAAAAATTTATATTTTTAATTACTTTTAGTAATTTTACCAATTAATTTAATAGCTTGTATTATTATTATTTTTTTTTATTTTTATTAATGATATATTGCCAATGTCATTTAAAAATAACTGTATGACTAAAAAAATATATTTTAGCCAAATTTCCGTTGAATTTCATTTTTAATATTCCCAGAAATTACTGACATTTCCTTTATTTATTTATTATTGTTTTACAAACAATTTCATTCCACTATAAAAAACCTTGCAAATGTCAAGAAAAATTAAATGCATTAGAGCTTGAAGGTAACTAATTTAAAACTAATTTACAATAGGTATATATGTACATACATAGCACAACATTTTTTAAGCAAAAAACGTTATGTTAATATAAAAAATAAACCTTTATTAACCTTGAAATTTATCAACAGGAAACACACAAACAATTGACTGTTTATTTTGCATATTAATAAAATCACAGATAGGTCGATTTCCGGAATATTAAACACGAAAAAAATAAAAATTAAAAGAATATAGTTAATCCACCCCTGCTCTAAATGCATGCAAACGGCACGGGTGGGCCTTCACAATTCCAGGGGGAGAAACTTAACAGATTCTAAAGGTCCTAAAATTTCCAAGGGGACTTTGATCCACTGATGATTGGCGTTAATGGGTAGGCAGAAGACAGAGGGCCTTTCACACCATCAAAATTAGGAGATTAGGTTGTTTATTTTTAGTATCTGTTGTTTACAATTTTGTATTTTAAATTTGGCAACATGGCCCAGTTTAAAAAAATGCGTTTCTACACTGTAAATCAGATTTGTAAACATGAGTTTGTAGTTTGTTAATTTTATTTTGTAGAAAACCAGGGTTTGTAATTAACAAAGGAAAATAATTTAGCCAAAGTTTTTTAAGGCAAAATAATCGATCCACACAAATTTTCGATGAATTTCAATCGCAAATAACTTTTTTTTGATGTCGGATTTAAACGAGTATTAAATAATATTGTAGATAAATTATTGGACAATCGCTCACATTTTAAAAAATTAATAAAAAATAGACGTACGTTTATAATATACAGGTTTAAACAAAAAGATGTTTTTTACCATAAGTTTAAGACACTCTGTAGAGTGGCAAAACCGTATATTGTTCTAAATTAAGTTTTATTTATCAAGTCACATCTATTCTTAACAGTTTTGTTTTTGGTTCACCTTGATATATTTATTTTTGTGGAAAATATGGATTTTTTTAAAAAACAATTTCCAATATTTTTCTGTATGACGAACTAAGGTTGCTATGGTCTATCCATAGGCTATGGAGAATGACAGTGACAGTTTTGTTGAATCATCCCATACTTGGACATGTCATACACGGCTTTCAAAAGCTGTAAAATTGTTTTTTGCAAATAAATGTTTAAATTTTGAGGTGTCTTCTTACTTTAAAAAATGGATATGTCTCCGACTGATGTTGCCAGAGCCATTAATTTAATCCAGGATGGACGGTCACAGTATTACGTGGCAAGTGTTTTAAACGTCACAAGAAGTAAAGTACAAAGGGCAACATCAGTCGGAGACATTTTTAAAAGTAAGAAGACACCTCAAAATTAACACATTAATTTACAAAAAACAATTTGATACCTTTTGAAAGCTGTATATGACATGTCCAAGTATGGGATGATTCAACAAAACTGTCACTGTCATCCTCCATAGGCTATGGATGGACCATAGCAACCTTAGTTCTTCATATTGCAATGTTTTTTAAAGAAAATCCATATTTTCCACAAAAACAAAACTGTTAAAAATAGATGTGACTTAATAATTAAAACTTAATTTAGAACAATATACGGTTTAGCCACTCTACAGAGTGTCTTAAACTTATGGTAAAAAACATATTTTTGTTTAAACCTGTATATTATAAACGTACGTGTATTTTTTAGTAATTTTTAAAATGTGAGTGATTCTCCATTAATGTATCTACAATATTCTTTAATATTTGTTTAAATCCAAAATCAAATAAAAAAGTTATTTGCGATTGAAATTCATCGAAAATTTGTGTGGATCGATTATTTTGCCTGTGAGTGTACTTATACAGTTTTGTAAGCATTTTGTTAATCTTAAAGGTTACAGAATATTTTGTTAATGTTTAACCTGGATTAACAAATATTTTTTACAGTGTATTAGTATTAGAGGTTTACAGAACTGTTGAATTTAGAAATTCCACCCTCCCAACATTATGGACTATCCGCAACTAAATATTTTGTTGGGTCAAAAATAGCCTTAAACTTACGAAATACAAATTTTCATTGCGCCATTACATTTAACGTCTTCGCTACGACGAAGATAAAACCATAAAACAAATTTAGATACACAATTCTAGGAATCGTTTACCGAAACTCAGTTGACTGACTGAACGAGCGTCTGAGAATTCGTAAATAATAAAAAAAACATTATCGACCGAACAGTAAACTCCCCAATAAACAATTTGTACTACTTGTGGTAACGATAAATTACCTTTATAAAGGTTATATAAGAGTTGTCAAATTATATAAGAGTTTAACAAGGTTTTATATAATCGCCATCTAGTTTACTAGATATTAATGTATTAAAATATTAATATCCATAATATTTCTGTTATATCTAGTTATAAAACTTGAGTTTTATAGTGTTACTAAAATAGGTACCGAAAACCTTCATGAACTCCCCAAATAAGCTCTTTAAGGGGTATATAAGAGTGATATAAATATATCTGTAACCAAATTAAGAAATTTAGGTTTTATAATTTGGATTATGTAACATGCAACTAATGCGCTGGGGCACAGATCTGCGCCCTGCGGCACATCCACATTCATACATGATAATGTGATTTAACGAATTCTCGTTATGTATATAGGTAGTTATTTACTAGATATAAATTATGATTTAATTAAAGTCCTTTACAATGAATTATCAATGTTATCGTGTTTATGTATTATTGGAGAGGCAACAACTAATGACCGTGGAAAAACCATAATTATCATATGTAAATTTTAAAGTTTTGCATTTAAAATTACTGTTATTTTATTATCTATATTTGATCTGATTTTTCTGAAGCATGGCGAATCTCTAATTTTTTAGAAACTGGTATGTGATAATTACAGTTTTTCTGATTTGATACACCTTGTTATGGTGTCAAGTTTTAAGCGCGTAAAAAGGTTTACTAATACTTATCATAACAGCCAATCTAAAACATATTAATTCCCAAATAACATTAACATTTATTAATTTGCTTTCGACCCTCGATTAAAATGAACTTTATAGTCCATTATGAGCCAAGCCAAATTGCATCTAACAGGTTGAAACTCGTATTGGAACAAGTTTGTTTAATTTGCTTATAGGGGCCAAAATGAAGACACTCTGTAAAAAAAATTCTTAGAAGCATCTCTATAATTCTCGTAAATAAATGGTACCACATTCCACAGATACGATCCATAAAAAAGGGTCCCAGATTGGAGCCTTGAGGCACACGTTTTGTGAAATGTTTCGCTCTTTGCTAATTTTCCAAAAAGATAGTTTTTGTAGAGAATTGAATTATTCGTATTTTATGTCTTTGACATTTTTATATAATAGAAAAGATAACCTTTATGAATATTAATAAACTTCATTATTTTGTTCCACATAAACATTGCATGGCAATATCATGGCGCCT